CTAATCAATCTCCTTCCACGCCAATCGATACCTGTTTCCTTTAGGATCTGCATTAATTTGGTCCAATTTACACGGTCAAATGCCTTCTGCCAGTCTATAAAGCAAGCACACAGTTCTTCATCTATCTCCAAAGTTCATTCTGCCATAATTCTCATCATCTCAATTGCATCCCTGGTTCCTTTTCCTCTTCCATATCCAAACTGATCCTCTCCAAGTATATCCTGTATTTTCCTTTCGATTCTTCTTTTAAGTATCTTTGCTATTATCTTTGCTGTATGTGCAATAAGGCTTATTGTGCGATGGTCGCTGCATTTTGTAGCTTTTGTCTTTTTCTTTAAGGCAATCATTGTCACTTCTGTAAAGTCCTTGGGCCACTCCCCAGTTTCATATATGGTGTTTATTAGTTTTCCATTTATGTTGACAATAATTTCCTTTTTTGCAAAATAAATAAAAATTCTTAATCTACACATATTTCACAACATTAGTTATGCCATAAGCGCATCATGCCAAGCTGAACCAAAATTAAATCACTTCATTATGAAATAAGTTTATTCACCAAGTGATATTCTCATTAGTACACCCAACAATATTTGTTTTATATAATATCTTAATATCAATATCTTCAACATTATTATATAACTTATTCCAGGAAACATAAAACATTTAAATACATCATAATATGTTTCTATAACTTCATTGCCTAAAAGACATTTCTGATGCTAAACAAAAACAACTCAGCAAAAATACATTTAACTTATCCATTACTGTGCAATGGAGAAAAATGTTAACCCACTGTTGAAGAGGTCTGAGCATCATGAATTTCATGTGCAGATTATTTTATTTGTATTCCTGCAAGAGTGATTAATTTTTCCATAGAGAGGACTGTTGATGATATGCCTTAACAATTAATTTCTATTGGAAATATGTGTTGATATTATTCTCCATTTTTTGTGGCTGTGAATAAAAATGAAAAAGGGAACACTTTTCTCATTTCTATAAAAAATATATCAGAAAGTGATGAATGTTGAGATACAGGTCAAATATATCATATATGCATAAGTTATATTTGTGGTAGTGCATCAACAATGAACAAGCATAGAGTTTCAATCTGCACAGAGTAAAATTAGAACTGAAGCTATTTTAAGGAGCAGAGGAAGAATTAACTGTACGTGTCTACCTATATTTATCAACAGGTCCGATAAGATATAATTTACTCCATGGTTAATAGAACAGCTGCTTTAAACATCAAGAACAGTTTTTTGCATGTTCCTTGAAGATACCTGCGTCTCCTAGCTTCTTTCTGTTCCTTAATCTATCACAGATGTAGCCACTTAATCAGGCAATAGTAACACAGTATTCCAACACGTGACTTCTTATGACCAACTTATGAATGTAAAGATGTTACTGTTAAGCCTCATTTGACCTTGCAAGTAATTAGCCAAAGTATGCCCCACAGTTGGAACACCGTCTGTTCTTCAGAGCTAGGCAGCACAGAATTCCAAGAGGAAAAAAGAAAATTGCGCAAAATATTCCAAGACAAGTAAAATCATCTTCTAGGACGCCCACCTATAACACAGAAAATTCTGGATAGTCACACTGGTACTAGAACAATGACTCGTTTAAATACAGTGTCCAGCTACTAAGGTTCTGACATATTTCCCGCATTTATTGATCTTCTATCTTTAATTGCAACAACAAAGTGAAAACATTCTATTTATAATATTTGAACATACACGTACTTTCTTGTCCCTCCAAGAAAGTCAGATTTATATGAATCATGTTATACTATTCCTAGTGTGAAGGACCAGGATGAACCAAGTCAAACTCAAATTTGGCGACAGGTTAAATTGCAATGGTATGAACAAAAACGCCATGATTTTACTTTGCAAGCGAACTATACCGAACTAGCAACTGCCGCTTGTCGGCGAAGTTACTGCCAACTTTTGCGGATAGAGGGTGTCACATGGTCAGCACAACAGATCCCAATAGCTCCTCATTTATCCTCACAAGGATGAGTGGACCCCATTCCAGACTCCCTACTTCTCAGAAAATCTGATAACACCAGGAATCGAACCCGGGACATATGGATCTGTAGCCAGGAACTCTGACCACTAGACCATAGAGGCGGTAAAACTGCAATGGTATACTTTCTTTCATCTTACAGTATGTTTGTTCTTTGTGCATAAATATAATAGACATTTTGTGAGAAACTGCAAAAGAGGGTGTGAACTTAATGGGTGCTAGAGAGCCCTAAGTACACAGTTACTATTTATTATAAATTTTCTCCCACTGTTAATAAAATCAGCCACTCAGCACAATCCTGAGCTAGTTCAGTCCTGTTCACACCCTATTTAAAAAATATTAATGTATGTTTATAACAGATATTTACACTTTACAGGGGCATGCAGTAGTATAGTTGGTTGAGGCACTATGCTGCAAGTCAAAAGGTCGTTGGTTTGAGTCCCAATGAGGTGGATTTCTTTCGATTTACCTAATCCTTCCAGCCACACTATGGCCCTGGGGTTGACTCAGCCTCTAACAGAAATGAGTACCAGGAATCTGCCTAGGGGGTAAAGGGCGGCTGGCGCGTAAGGCTTACAAACTTACCGCCACAGGTGCGCTGATTGTCTAGAAAATGTGGGAACCTCAACATCTCACAACCCTATGGGCCTCCATGGTCTGTTCCAGGGATACCTTTACTTTTTTTCTTTTTATTTACACTTTACAATTAAAAGATCCTCCATAAACTCTGACAAAAAAAAATAATCCTATGCTGGCACAGTGTGTGCTGCCATTCTTCACTTTCCAAACAATGGAGTAGGACTGATCAAAATATTTCAGATATAAACAAATGAGATTGAGAATCCCGTGATCTGGTTACTGTTTGCTGATGAGCTTTTACACAAAAATCCGAGTCTCATACAAATATGATTATAATGCAGAGTGCCCAGTCACCATTTCATTTTGTGTGAGGCACCCATGAATTGCGTACAGACCAGCATATGAAATGGTACAACAGAATGGCCTGAACATATTATTTTATCACACCTTCATATCTTTTGGGGTCAGTACATGGGTAGATCTTATATATCTACAATACAGCAACCACCTACATGTTCCTCGTTTGCTAACATGGTGTTTTATTGTACTTACAGAATTTACTGACATGGGAAAGTAAGCTTTATGAGTTTCACTTGAACTCTTTGTTTTTCTTGATATTAAATATCTGTACACTTCAAGAAATCCAAATTTGTTACTCAGACCAGCAGCAGCAGTGGTAGTGGTGTGTCATAAATGTAACAAAGAACACCTCTGAGAAAATTCTGATGGGAGATGCCATCATATTCGTATGGGTCCATTCACATATGGTCATCATACTGTAGATATTCTAGTACTTGTTTATTACCTACATACTGTACAATAAAGCTGAACTAACCCTGCATGCTGGACAAGCACCAACTATGATGATTTCTTGTGGATGGACTGTAATTGTTGTGGTACCATATGTAGGAGCATAGCCTGTTTGTGAAGGTGCTAAAGGCCCTTGATATGGCTGATAACCCGGTGGGAACTGACCAAGTCCACTGGCACTTTGTGGATAACCTAAAACAGTTAGTACACTGCCATCTTGTACAATATATTTAGTGGTTAAGTTCATGTTTATGAATACTAATTTTTATGTTGTTAATGTGATGAATAATATACATTAACATGATGAGTATATTAATCAGAGCAATGGAAACATCAATATCTGCTTCTGTGCTAGAGATAAGAAGTTTAAACAGCAACCTTTATGTAGGATATAAGGTTCACACAATAGCGACCATAAGGAGTGGGATCTAACACCATATGGTCCAGTACGTCACTGACGTTTCAGAGGACCATCTTGAGTTCTGAACAGTATGCCCCAAGCAACTGCTTCTACAGTGTTACTTGCAGGACTTACTCTGTTCCTGAAGATGGAGGCAGTACGATCCTCCGAAACGTCGGTGAACTTTACGGAACTACATGAAGCCACATCTCAGGAAACATTACCCTTCAATAACCTCCATATTTGTGAATTTGCATACTGGTGATCACGGATCCATATTGTACATAAGCATAATGTTCACTCTACCTGGAGCTTGTTGAGAGTAGGGAGGCGGTTTATCATATTCTGGTGGAAGTGCCATCCTTAATATATTTCCTTGACCAGGTATTGCAGTAACTTATGTTCTTGCCTGCAAGTGAAAATGTAGCATTTATCATTAACTGTTATTGCTGGATATCATAATTCATTTAAATTAATCACAAACACAAACTCGTACTGCTAACAGCCCTTCTGCACACAATTGAATTCAGAGGAAATAATAATCTTATGATGGGAGTGCATGCGAACCACTAGCGTATCTAGAACATCTAGAACTCATTGATAAAGAAAACAGGCAAGACTCGACAACTGTCAAATCTATGCCATCTAGTAGCAAATATTGCAAGTGTCATACACATGGACACATTTTCTGAGTTGGTGACATATTGGTATACCTGATTCCTCTTAGGCTCTGATGCATTTTCATCCCTGATTCGACCAAGCGGAAGCTCAGTGCACGCAGTGTTACAAGCGGTGTAAGAGTGGGAAGATGGAAACTGATGAGAATAATGCAGAATGTGCAAATAATCATGATACAAGTAATGAGACCAAACAGGAACCAGAAAGTGCGAGTAACATTCGTGTAAGTTTTCATTATTCTTCTCCAACTACAACTCGTATGAAACTAATGATTCATGCATGGTAACAGAAATCCTACGATTGAACTTAACTTCGTTGCAGGAAAGTTAGTCGGTTTCGGAAACGGCTAGACTTTAATGCTGCAAGAAGGAGCATGTTACAGGAAAACAAAATAAAGTATGTATGCATTTTAGGCAAAACTGTCTCAACCTCGGAATCTTAACGAGAAACACACGGAAAAGAAAATACGTTGAGAATGAAGGCTCACCTTACTTGAACTTTGTTTCTACAAGGTTTTAGTAACGTTTATTGCACTAATGGATGCCAAGTCATTTTAAATGGCATTACGTTCTTGAATATATGAATGTAATGACGCTGTTATAAAATTTGTCGCAACCGGTTTGCTTACGAATCCAGATGCAGTCATATGTTAGTGGCTTCTGTTGCCGCGAATAAGTGTTTATGTGCCTGAATATACAAATCTAACAGGAATTCAACGGGCTTCCATAGTTTTAGTTACATGACCGCATGTACTCATTCCACTATTACGGCTTTGCAGCCATCATGTCACATATTCCTGTTAATTTGGTTTATTGGAGAATAGTAGATTTGAAGATTCTTTATGTTAGATCTCACCTCTCCACCATAACTGTTAGAGAATAAATCTCAAAATGGCTCATGAGAAATTTGTTACTAGTTTAAAAGAATAAATGTTCTATTGAAGCATCCTGTGTGTATGCTTCAAATATTTAGCTACATATCTGTCTTTCACTACCTAATGTTTCAAGTGACATTCTGAAACTATCTGGCAATTAAAGCACTGTACCAGTTTATATTGCATGGACGTACCTGTTGATAGTCACTACTGAAACATATGGTTTTAATGTGAGTGGTTAAATAAAAAATGCACAGCTTCCAAATGTTGCTAAAAGCGTTGCATAGTGGAGGATGGAAAAACAGCCAAGTGAAAGCATTAAAACTGTATACAAACATTACAGCTTTCAAGTGAATGCAACAAACTATGTAGCTTAATGTAGGCGTGCTGTTCGCTCTGTTGTTGGGTAATGATGCTATTTACCTGTTGGCTCTATTGCCAGTGTTTTGGGTAACCTTGCTGTCTCTTAGACATCAGCAGTGCATTCAATTTCTGCAGGGTGTTGTTTTCTGAAAACCAGACCAACAGGGTCTTTGAGGTGCCATGAAAGCCAAAAATTGTCTAGTGCAGATGATTAAGCTACATAATTACAACATATTGTTCATCAAAGTATCCTAGGTTCTGTTCCTGAAGCTTTGAAAGTGAAGATATGTGGAATCACTTCATTCTTTCAACAGTTTGATAAGAGTTAGCATTGACAGAGAGAGCTGAGACTTTGATAACTTTTTCATAATATGTAGATAATTTTCATTTTGAAAACCTGCAACTGTTCTGAATTCATTTGCATGCCTTGTAATGATGACTTTTAGAAGTATGTAACAGAATGTGCACAAGAGTCCCACCCTTGCTCACCCCTCACTCACACACACAAACACATGCAAAGTTACAGTTCTGCAGGAAGACCTTGAACATGTAGACTCATGAAAGTGTGAATTTCATCTACAGTGCACACATGGTAAACATTCTCGCAGTTTACATACAGAATACTGGCGAAGGAATTTCTTGTACCAGTGTCATTGATAGCTTTGCAGTTTTTAAACCAATAGATAGGTCCATCATATTAGTCAGAATTCATCATATCCAAACACAGCCAATCAACAACTGTAATAGCTACTCATCATATTCACTGTTAAACTAATGGAAAAGTTACTATTTTACAAGTATCCTCTGATGATTGTTCACGGTTTATGAAATAAGTGTTCAGCATTTCATGCTGTGCTTGGTATTTCTGCTGGAAGGTCTTAAATGCCAACATGCTGACTGTAAAAGAGAGCTATGGTGTTTGAGAATGGGGATTAATTCTTTGAATTTGTGAAAGATTGTAATATTGCTGTCATGTAGATTTTACATTTGAGGAACAGTACTGAACTTCTTTTGGTACAGTCTGTGGACTGTGGTGAGAGAAGATAAAAGCATAATGTAAGCAACTATACAAACACTTCACTCAAACATGCTTCACCCCACTGTTGCCACATCAGGTACTGCTCATGTCCCCATGTCACTATGAGAATCATATTCATAATTCATAATTTATTTACATCCATAAAATGTTACACAAGTATAATTGGGCAAGTCAGTTTAAACAGTCTAAAACACTACAACTCAACAACTCTCTAAAATGTACAAAATTATACGCAAGACTAAGAACAGTACCATCATTCATCCCCCTGCTGAAGCCAGCAACCACAGATGACAACCCCCAACAATCCAATATAAAGCAACACATACGCTTATACCATCTATACATCCACACCACATAAGAACAAATCTGAGCCAGCAAACTACCATCCATCATCCAACTCCTGCAGAGAATAAAAACAGTTTTGCAATAAATAATTTTTTAAACTTTAAAATTTATGTATATTAATTCCCATGTTAATGACACTTATTTTCCAATGAACAGTGTTGCATGTTTGTACATAGAATTCCTGTTTTCCTTTAGTGTTATACTTGTGAATGTCAGAATAATAAGTCGTGTAGATCTTGTTCTTTAAATGTGGGATAAGATCTCATACATATATATATATATATATATTGTCACGTGTTGGGTATGGCACGCAACAAATAACTATGCGTGGGTCTCGGATTCAGTGAATCTTTATTGGACGCTTCACTTATACACTTACGAGTACAATTATTATCCACTGCTTCACTGTTATAATTACTTCTTGTACCACTGATCTCGGCTGCTATATTTTGAATGTCTTCTGTAGCGGCTATTCCAAGACTTACTTCTGTATCTCTCAGCATCTGCCCTGAGACTGTCTGGCGAATGCATTCAATCCCTTTTTATACCCTCGGCCGCTGCTATGCAAATGAACCCTCTGTTATAACCGTGGAAACGCTGCTTTGTTGATTCTGCGATTCCTATGCAACGACCCACTGTTATTGCGTTGTCTCCGTGGGAACGCTCCGTGTATTCGTTGTAACCATGGAGATTCGACGCAATGGCTAACTGTTGTTGCGTTACTATGGAAGTGTCTTTTCCAAACACGTTACTATATATATATATATATATACACACTTCTACAGGACACCCTGTTTTTCACTCATTTAATGAGCCTTAGACCTTTTTCTTTTTGTAATTTAATGACACTATTATTGTTATTTACTTCCCTCCAAAAATAATACCAGATTTCAGTATAGATTCAAATTTAGTAAAATAAACATTTCTTAGTGCTGGTAAACTTACTGAGTCTCATTTGGATTTAATCAAATAAAGAGCTTTGTTTAATTTTGGCAAAGATATTGTATATGAGTGTCCCAGCTTAAGTTATCTGTGATATAAATACCTAAAAACTTTAAATTTGATTAGTAAGTTATGTACAAAAATACTTGATGCATAAATCAACAGAATCATTACAGAGAAGGAAACTAAACCAACCTCACTGGAAGTATATGCCTGATTCAAGGTGTTGCAAGATAAGCAGCCTCCCCTTTTTCAAACACTATTGTCCTGTGATCCAAAGATATTACTGTAATTGGTAACTTTACCCAAAGATTGCAAAGCCAGAGTGGTGAAGAGGCAGCAGGAGGAGGATAAAACTAGTAAAACAAATGAAGGGATTTGCCTGCCTGTTCATAATTAAAAAATACCAGTATCAGATTTCTTTTTCTGTTTATAGAGCAAAGAAGAAGTTGTTGGGATTCAAGAGGGATTCCAAGCTAAGATATTTGCTTTAGAACTGTTGGGTCCATGTGTGTATGGAGCTATGGAAGGTATGCTTCACTGTGTTTGACAGTTTTCAAGTATATTCCTTTCTAATATGAGACAGTACTTACCGTATTTACGCATGTATAGGCCGCGTGCGTGTATAGGCCGCAGCACAATTTTCAGACAGAAATTATAGAAAAAATAATTTTCTTGGAATATTATTTCAGGAGTATTACACCCTCTATTACTAATTATGAATATAATTTTTTTAAATGAAGTGTGATTTCGAATATAAGCCGCACCCCAGTTTTCCTCTTGAATTTTTGGCAAAAAATGTGCGGCCTATACATGCATAAATACGGTATGTTTATCGTAGCACACTTTCATTATTTTATAAATAAGAGCAACTTAATATCATGTTCATGTGTCTTGTAACACTGTAGATATTTTAAAAATATGAAGTTTTTACTGAGGTCATATTTTTGTAAAATGTAAACAGCAACGTGTTTTATAAAATCTGCATTTACCTTTTGGTTCGTTGCCGATAGCTAATGAGACATTTGTGTTAGATGTGTGAAATTTTATGTAGAGATTGTCATAAACATATCTACAGATTATGCATGAAAATATCTTTTCATGCGTAAGATTTGAGGCTTTCACGGCGGTGACTATGAAGAAAGCAGTCTTCTGGGATTTGGCACCGTGTATATGTGGTGTTAACCGACGTTTCGGAGGAACGTATCGCCTCCATCTTCAGGGTAGAAGGAAAAATATAAGAAATCCGCAAGCGAAGAGACCGTGAGAACCGGTACAAGCAGACTGGTGTTGGAAATATACACAGCTATGTGAGAGCAGTGAAGGAAGGAGGAAAGGCAAGTTTACAAGTGAAATCAGTGGAGTGGGAGGGGAGGGAGAAAGGAGCGTTGACAGAAGCAGGGTTTTATGTTGGGGGAGAGAAAGGCAAGGTTAAAGGATGGGCAGATAGGCCGCTCGGTGGACATGAGTTTGAAGGAACATCAGCGGTACATCCATCTCGAACATCCGGACAAGTCGGCTGTACCTGAACACAGCATCNCCTTCCCCCCTTCCTTCACTGCTCTCACATAGCTGTGTATATTTCCAACACCAGTCTGCTTTTACCGGTTCTCACGGTCTCTTCGCTTGCGGATTTCTTATATTTTTCCTTCTACCCTGAAGATGGAGGCGATACGTTCCTCCGAAACGTCGGTTAACACCACATATACACGGTGCCAAATCCCAGAAGACTGCTTTCTTCATCTTTTCATGTGTTCGAGATTCTGTGTGTAGGTTTAGTGTGGTACTTTGAAGTTTTGATAAACATATACGATGGGGTACCCAAAAGAAACCGAAGTATTTTTTTTGTGGGCAGATCTTTTGTAGTACCGCGTTTTGCCGCTATGAGCGCATAGAGATAACATTCCTGAGTCGATAAGCCGACTACCGTTGTTTCAGAAGGTAAAGACTAGTTTTGGCAGAGTTTATAGTGACATCTGTTTTGTGTGATCGTCGTTTTTGCAATGGCTGATTTTCATGAACAGCATGCGGCGGTGAAATTCTGCTTTTTGCTCGGGAAAAGTGGAACAGAAACTCTTGAAATGTTAAAAACGGCGTACAAGGACGATGCTATGGGGAAAACTCAAGTGTTTGAGTGGTTTTCCTAAGAAGCCGAAACCAAAGAGAGTGCGCATGCAAAGGAATCTAGTAAAGACACTGCTAACTGTTATCTTCGATTCCAAAGGAATCATTCACAAGGAATTTCTGCCAGAAGGTCAAACAGTGAATTCTGATTATTATCTCAGAGTCCTCAATCGTTTGTGGGCGAGAATTCTTCGAATTCGACCTGAATATTGAGAGCAAGGTTCCTGATCGCTCCTCCACGACAATGCCCCACCCCACAAATCGAAGATTGTGGGAGATTCTTTGGCCAGAAAAGGAATCACAGTCCTTGATCATCCTCTATATTTGCCAGATTTGGCTCCAGCAGATTTCTGGTTGTTCCCAAAAGTTAAGTTGGCAATGAAAGGAGACTATCATGATACCATCCAGAACATCCCAAGGGAATCTACCACAGTTTTAAATGCGATTCCACAAAAGGAGTACAGTGACTTTTCAGAAACTTTTCAATCGATTCCAGCTATGTATTGATTCAGAAGAAGACTATTTTAAATAAAAAGAGTGAAATTTTGAAAATAATTCATGTCTTGTATTTTTAATGAACACATTCCTAATAGAACCTGGACACACTATGTAGATTCTGTAAATCTGTAGATGGATTATTGAATGTATAATTGTGATGCCATTATGGATGTAAATGAGCTCTTACATGTGTTGTATCAATCATTTCACAAACTTTGTTACAATTCAGTATGACAGATTTTTCCTAAAAGTTGTTCGGTTTGATTTTCTGCCACATTAATCCATTACAGAGCCTTTTGTACTTAGGCCACAAATGGATTTTGTAGACAGGCTGCATATGAGCTTAATAGACTGTGAAGTATGCATTCAGAATTCTTTGTTTGGTGTTATGGATACACCCTTTCCAGTCTTGTCATTACATATACAGTAGAACTTGGTTATAACGTCATCAAAGGGACCTAAAAATAGTGTCGTTATAAACGAATGTCGTTGTAACCGAAATGGGCACTTCCACAGTAGCCTTATGTTAGTCACGTAAAAATCTACCAAAGACCGAGTTAAAATGTTGCATTTTTTTAGTGAAATACGTAGTTAAGTACAGACTAACGTAACATTAACGTGGAATTGCCCAAATGTGTAATATCAAAGACATATTACAGCGCTTTTCACTGACAATACACACCGCACTAATACTGTATATTAAAGGTAGGCCTACTCACCAAATTACAGTAGATTACATCAATTGTTGTGCCTTACTGTACCTAGATACGAGTACAGTAATCAGTTAT